ACCAGCTGGGCGACGTGGCGAGACCTCAACTCTACAATAAATCAAAAAAACTAGCTGGGTACGGTGGCGTGTGCCTGTAGTTCCAGCTACTTGGAAAGCTGAGGCGGAAGGATAGCCTGAGCCCCGCAGGTTGAGGCTGCAGTGGCCATGAGCGTGCCACTGCATTCCAGCCTGGGCGACAGAATACGACTCTGACCCAAATTAAAAAAATCTGACACATGATACAACAGGTTTAAACCTTGAGGACATGACGCCACTCTAGAAAAGACATATGCTGCGTGGTTCCACTTACAGGAGGTCCTTGGAAGAGTCAAAGTCACAGAGACAGCAAGGAGGACAGTGGTGACTGGAGACGGAGGAGAGGAATGAGGAGATACCTTTGAATGGAACAGTCTCGTGTTGCCCAGGCTGGTCTCGAACGCCTCCCTCGGTTCCAGAGTGGGCGGGAGTGACGGCCACACAGCAGTGTGAATGTACTGAGCACCACTGACAGGGACACTTAACACAGCCAAGATGGCAGAGCTCACGTGACGTGTATTTCTCCATAATAAAAAGATGGAGGGGAATTTCCCCAGGAACAGCGACTCACTAGGGCGTGCTATGTGTGGCCCAGCACTGACATAGGAAGCCACATGTCATCGTCCCCCATCGTGTCCTCTCTACACAGCCGCCCACCAAGGCTGAAGCGTTTCCCCATCTCACAAGTGAAGAAACTAAGGCTGAAGGAGTCAAACAACTTGCCCTGGGTCCACAGTCAGGAAAGGGCACACCCAGGCCTCGCAGCCCACTCTTGCTGGCTCTGGAAAGTGGCTTTAAGCTGAGGCGGACAGACAGTCCCAGCCTGGCGATGGCAAGATGCAACCTCAGCATCAGCGAGCTGCTTCCCTTGGGGGAAAAAGGGGCTGACCTTTCAGCTACAGAGAAAGTAGGTGATGGTGGCCTCGCCCGGCCGAGGGACACTGGTGTGGCCCAGCCTGGCCCGAATCATCAGACGATGCCTGGGGCTATCAATTCACAGCTGGCCACAGCCCAGAAAGTCAGTCAGATGCTGAGGGCCACACCGCCCTTGGTCTCTGCAATCGTGACGGCTCTGACTGTCCATCACATCCTCGGGAGGGTGAGAAGCCACCGGGAAGAGGATAGGGTGTCCCTCCATGTGGCCCCGATGGAAGTGACTTCCCATCCTGCTGTCCCTCAGTTTCCCCAGTTGTAACATGAAGGACTGAACTAGATCAACCTCAAGCCAATCCACTAGCCCACCCCCTCCCCAGAGCCCCCCTAGCCCTGAGTCCAGCGAGATGAGAGGAACCAGATGGAGCTCTGACTCAGGTAGGAAAAGCAAAGACATCAGCACGTGAATGGCACGTAAGCTCCTTTCTGCTCTGGCAGACTCGGGTATGAATCCCGGTCCCCAGCCTGGCCTCTGTTTCCCCATCTGAACGCTAAGGATCATGGCACCTCTCACGTTACTGCTGAGCTGTGGCGTGAGATATCGGCTGGGAAGCCCCCGCACACAGCGCCTGGTGGGTGAGACATGCTCACTGGCATCAGCGATCCCCGCCTAGGCTGGACAGTGGACAGGAAGCTCTCGGGGCTAGAGGAGGGGACTCTGGGGTCGGCCACCACCTCTGCCACTGCTGAGAACCCTCAGGAAATTCACTTTCCCACGCATGTTCTCTTCTTCAACAAGTACAAGGAAGTGAAATGGGAAGCCACCACTTCCACTGCCATTTCCGAAGACCACTGTGAGATTGCACACTCCTTGTAGACAAGTTCTGTGTCCCCATGTGCTGGACACAGCCAATGAGATAACGGAACTAGGCACTCCCACCTTGGATGTCCCAATAGGGGCAGAGTTGACAGACTGAGTCATTGTGGCATAAGCAAGATGAACCCAGTTGGATGGGTCAGGAGGGATGGGTGGACCAGCTGTCTCTCTGAGCCTGGGTCACCCTGAGCCCCCTTCCCACACGGCCCTTGGGCCAAGGAACCACCCCACCCATCCCAGGACCCTCCCCTGTGCCTGGAAGAGGAAAGGTGAGCTGAGCAGTCAGGCAGCCCTGCTGCTGGCTCTGTGGGGGCTACAAGCTCATTAGAGACCGACCACCTGACTGATGGGGAGGGGTGAATTCACCTGACCCGCCCACCCCAGGGGAGAAGCGTGCCTAGAAGGATGTTTCTGGTCTGACCACATTTCCTTGCATCTCCAGGGACACGGGGAGGAAGAAGCTAGTGGCCTGGTGCAGGTGTCCAGAATCTAAGAAGTACTTCCTGTCCCCCAGGCCTGTGCTCAGCATTACCTCCTGTGGGCACTGCTGCGAACCCACAGGTGTCTTTTATCACCCAGGAGGAGAGAAGGGGCTTGGGGAGGGGATACACAAGCCAGGAGGGAACGGAGACCCCAATCTGTGGCCTTGTTACACACCCTAGTTCCCATCTCACTGGCTTTGTGACCTCGAGGCTGTGTTCAACTACGACAAGATAACCCTAGAACCTCCTGACCAGGGCTCTTGTGGGGATTAAATGAGTGCGCTTAATTAAATTAGTTAAAGACAGCCTGCCCCTAACAGTGCCGTGCTCGAAAGCAGTAACTAGTATTCTTACATTAGTTCACAAATGAAGCATAACCTAGGTTCAAAGAAGTTTGGCCACTTGCTCGAAAGCACACAGCTTGGAAGGGTAAGCTAGAGTTAAATGTGCATCAAGCTGACTCTTAAAGGCAAGAAATAAAAAGTATGGTTTTTTTTCAGGATGGTGTAATGTCTCAGTTGTGGCTTGACCTTAGGAGGTTTCATTGTCTGGGAGGCTGAATTTGTTCATTCATCAAATGAGGAAAGAAGTCAGCCCTGGTCCAAATCCATCAATCCACCACAGACACACAGGGAGGCTGGAACAGCCGTGACACTGTCAACACAGGGCTGATTCACCCGGGGACACTCCTGGGGACAGGGAGGGCCTGCTGTTTCTAGCCACAAACCCTGAGTGGCATGGCCCTGACGACTGTCCTGGGTGCCCCCAGATATGGAGGGGCACAGGCCCCAGGCTGGAAGAGGCTTCCTCAGGCAGGTGGGCAGCATTGACAGTACACAGTAGCACCCTCAGAGGAAGCAGGTGCCCGTCTTAACTGCGTGGCAACCATGTCTGGCTGCTACCCCACAGCTCTGGGACCCCACTCTTGGCCCACATGGATCTTACTAGAAGGCTGTAAGGCACACATGTGTGGCCTAATCTGCAGGGCCTCATTCCAGCCCTGGGCCAGGCAGGCCTGACCTCTCTGAGCCTCAGTTTCCTCCGCTTGAAGAACGGAGACGACGGTCTCTCCTTTACAGGACTGTCAGGGTTAAGCGGCGTGTCCCTGGCAGTGAAGGGTGCCACCTGTCCGTATTGGTGTCCAGAGCCTGGTGCCTCTGCTCTGAACACGAACACATCAGTGTTACAGGGCAGAGACGTGTTGTCCCCAGAGGAGAGCAAACATTCGGACAGAAACCAACACCCTGGGCACACCCTGATGGTTCCACAGAGCCCTTGGGTGCAGGTGGTCTCTGGGGACAGCCGGACACCACCAGGAGGATGCTCAAAGACACCTTGGGTGTGGCACTCAGAGCCCCCACGATCTACGGACCAACACGTCTTTTCTCTCCCGCTTTTTTCTCTTCCTTCCAGAAGCAATGTGAGATCCTCCCCTCATTTACAGGAGCACTCACAGCAATAGAAGCCTCCGGGAAAAGTGGAGTCATGTTGGGGCCAGGAGATGGCCTGGGAGAGTGAGATGCAGAGTTCGGAACAGGATGAGTGGGGACATTGGTGACACACAGGTAGAGGTTTTGGCGAGCACATCTCAGCCTGCCTCTGGCTGGTCCCCGGAGGGCTCCTCTCCTCTTTGGAGGGGACCACAGCTCCCAATGTGCTCAGACTGCCGGCTCCACCCCACCCCGGGCACAGCACAGGTTGGGGTCCACCGGAGCCTGGGGTGACCAGTCCAGGACTTGGAGTTCCCCAAGTCCTGACCCAGCCCATGCTCCTGAGAGCTTGTTCTTGGACCAGCGGGGCCACAACCCCGGCCCGCTCTCCAACGCCGAGTGGGATGGACAGACATCAGTCCTGGTTTCACTTCCCAAGCAGAGCTAAGAGCATCAGGCCTGTGCTCCGTCCCTCCGTCCCCCTCCTGTGACAGAGTCCCAAGCCCGCCCAGCGGAGCGCCATCTCCCACACACATGCCCCATGGTTCTAGCCAGCTCTGCGGGACTCAAGGGGGCTGTGCCTCTGCCCTGCTTCCGTGGGAAGTGACCGGTTTCTGATTCTCTGGCCAGCACTCAAACCGGTTTCCCTTGGAGCAGCAACCCAGGGCGGGGCCAAGCCAGAGCCATGCCTTTCCCTTCCCTCTCCCCAAGTGTTGGAACAATGACCTACTCAAACCAGTGGAAAGATGACACTGGGTGCACTCAGGGTTGGAAAGGGGAGTGAGAGGAGACAAGGGTGGAAAAACCACCCACTAGGTACCACGTCTGCCACCCGGGTGACAACTCCACAGAAGCCCAAACCTCGCCAGCATGCAACATACCTACATAACACATTTGCACACGGACTTCTTGAAGCTAAAAAGAGATTTAAAAATTGAAAGAACGATCTCACTTGAAAAAAGAACCAGCCGGGCTCGGTGGCTCAGCCTGTAATCCCGTGCCTTGGGAGGCTGAGGTGAGTGGATTGCCTGAGCCCGTGGGTTCGAGACCCGCCCGGGCAACTTGGCAAGACCTCCTCTCTACAATAAATCAAAAATTAGCCGGGTGTGGTACCACACGCCTGTAGTTCCAGCTACTCGGAAGGCTGAGACGGAAGGATCGCCGGAGACCAGCAGGTCAAGGCTGCCAGGAGCGGCCACTGCACTCCAGTCTGGGCAACAGAGTGAAACACCAACTCAAAAAAAGAAAAAAGAACCAATGGAAAGAACATGGGAGAAGATGGGGCGGGAAGGGGGAAGGGAAGCCACATCCCCTACTTGCCTGGACATCAAATTCCTGCAGGAGGCCGGTGATGGTCTGTGGAGACAGAAGTGAGAAGGTGAGACTCGCTAGTTTCCTCGGGAACAACGTTGGAACACAGGAGCCCGTCAACATCCTGAATCTGTATCTCCACTCCCTCCTCTGTGGGGCCTCCCTAGTTCCTTACAAAGAGGGATTTTCCTTTTCATCTCAAAGCAGTCAGCAAAAGGCAGACATGTTCGCTGGATTCCTCTGACGATACCCCGGGTGTATAAAAAGCTGAAGGTCTAAGCTGGCCACGAGCTTGAGAGATACAGGAATGTAACTGTCAATTAACGGATCTCCCTGTCTTCATCCATGGACTATATTTTCAAAACGGAAATCTAATCATGTTCATGAGCCTCCTTACATTTTTTTCCATGGTTGTCTGGAAGTTGGATTAAAATCCAATCTCTTATGAGTGAGAGACCACGAAGCATTTCTCTCTCGCTAAAAAATCTGAATTTCTGACCTGAGCTGTCAGTGGCAGGACAGGCCCAAGAAGTTAGGCAAAGGGTCCTTGTCTGCCGGGGAGTGGTGACAGCGTGGCTAGGAGGAAGAATGGAGCCTTGGCCAGCCAACATTTCTAAGAGATGTCACCGCCCATTTTCCTCCTAGCCTGGAGACAGATTCCAAGTATCCAAACAATCTTCTGAAAACTGAGCCCCTGTCCCACCACCAACCCCCAGGAAGAAAGACAGCTCAGCACAGCAAAATGCAAAACTGGTAAGGGAGACAGAATGAGCCTTCTGGGAAAGCAGGGGCTAGATCAGGTGACAGCAGCCACCCTGCTGCCTGGGATTAAGACAGCACCGCATCCCTGGGCTGTAGACAGAAGCATCAGGAAGTTTTGATACATTCAGGCAGAAACAAAGATGGCTGATGGCGTGTGTGTGTGTGTGTGTGTGTGTGTGTGTGTGTCTGTGTGTGTGTGCGCGCACAGGAGTGCATACTGGTAGGAGGAAGTGGGGAAAATCCTTCTGAACAATCCCAACTTCCAAAACATCACCCACAATGCAGTGGCAGTTCAGATTGAGGACAGACAGGAGGAAGAACTTTCCAACAGCAAACAAACCTCACTCAAAACACTTCGCTGAGTCAATGTAGGAATCGGAAGGAATTTATTTCCATCTAAACCTTGAAGGAAAAGGTAAATATCCACTTAGAGATGGACCGGCATGTGATCTGGAACTGACAATCTCTTAGATGTCCGTTTAGAAGTAAAGTTGGGTGGGCATGGTGGCTCACAATTGCAATCCCAGCACTTTGGGAGGTGGAGGCAAGAGGATTGCCTGAGCTTGAGTTCGAGACCAGCCTGAGCAAAATGGTGAGACCTCGCCTCTACAATTAAAAAAAAAATTAGCCGGGCATGGTGGTGCATGCCTGTAGTTCCAACTAGTTGGAAGGCTGAGGCGGAAGGATCACCTGAGCCCAGCAGGTCGTGGCTGTGATGGCCATGAGCATGCGACTGCACTCCTGCCTGGGTGACAGGGTGAGTTCCCGATTCAAAAAATAAAAATAAAAGAAAGAAAATGAACAGTCTGCTCACCGAAGGCAGCAGCCTGGGTTTGATTCCACACTCCACACTTTGTCACTATGTGACTGAGGACAACTAGCCTCTCTGAGACTGAGAGTCCTCATCTGTAAAATGAGAACGGTCACGGAAACTCACACCTCCACTGGCCGCAACCGAAATATGGTTAACTGAGAAGCAGGCACGCGGAACGTGGTCAATGTACATTATCAATTATTTTATTTCTTTGTTTTTGAGTTGGGGTCTCACTCTGTGGCCCAGGATGGAGTGCAGTAGCACGATGATGTCTCACCACAGTCTGTCTCCTGGGCTCAGGTGATTCTCCCACCTCAGCCCCCTGAGTAGCTGGGACTACGCTTGTCTTTTATTTACATTTTTATTTTTTAGAAATGGGATCTCATTTTGTTTCCCAGGTTAATCTTGAACTCCTGGGCTCAAGCCATCCTCCCACCTCAGCCTTCTAAAGTGTGTGTGTGTGTGTGTGTGTGTGTGTGTGTGTGTGCGCGTGTGCTATATACCTGTGTGCAGCCTGCTGACACACTGTGCATGTGTGCACACATGTGAGTGCATGTGTGTTGTACATGCAGGTGTGCATGTGTTGTACATGTGTGCATGTATATATATATTATGTGTGTGCATGCTGTGTACTATATTGACACAATGTGCGTGTGTGTATATGTGTGTGCATATATGTTGTGCATGCATACGTTGTCCATGTGTCTGTGTGTGCCCGTATATATAGTATATGTGTTGTGGTGTGTATGCATGTCTGTGCATGCTGTGTACCTGTGCGCAGCATGTTGGTACATGCATGCTGCATGTGTGTGTTGTGCATGTGTGTGCATGTTGCACATCATGTTGCCACAATGTGCATGCGCCTACATGCATATGCATGTGGTATACATGCATGTATTATAAGTATGTCCGTGTGTGTGCATGTGTATAGTATATGTGTTGTGCACGTGTGCATGCTGTGCAACTTTGCATGCAACATGTTGGAGCACGTGTGCATGTGTGTACACGTATGTGTGTGTGCATACATTATAGGGGTAGCCAGGAGCATCTCCACTCACCTCTCCTTTCTCCACCAGAGGCTTCACCTCGGCGAGGTCTACGTCCTGCATCTCCCGAGACATGTCCCTGCTGTCACCTGCCTGCAAAAGGCCAGAGGTCAGCACTTCTTGCTGAGAGGGCTCCTGGAGGAAGTGGACTCAAGGCCAAGGAAGGAGGCGGCCGGAGGCTGAGCCTGCGCTCTGCTCAGAGCTCTCGCCTCCCGCACCAGGCACTAAGGTGACCTCTTGGTCACGGCCCCTCCCAGTCTGCCCACTGGGGCCGGGGGCAGTAGACTTCCTGGGAGAGGAAACTTCGTTCCCCACCAGACGGATGGGTCAGACTCACGCACAGGGCCCAGGCTCAGTCCTACCCAGCATTCTAGAAGGGGCACCACATCACGGATCCTGAAGTCAGGCAGTCCCAGACTGATAACAAAAAGGGAACAAGAGGGCACAGCATGCCACCCCGTGCAAACACCGTGGTACAAGCTTCATCCTCGTGGCTGGCCCTACCAGAAGGGTGGCAACGCAGACACACACACACACAGACACACACACACACACACACACACAGACACACACACACACACCACACACACCTCTGTGCTTGAAAAGAGAGGGAGGCAGATGACCGAAAAGGCCTAACCCAAAGAGTCCGACAAGCACTGAGCTCTCAGCAGGATTTTGAAAGAAAAAGGTCCTTCAAGGAAAAAGCACCTGGTGAGCCAGATGGGGGTGGGCCGAGGGCTCCACTGGCTCTACTTTGGGGCAGATGCAGAAGAACCAGGAAATGGCACCAGCCAAGCTAGACTGGCGTGGAGTCAGGAAGGCTGAGGAGGCCCCATGCTCCACACCCCGGGGCACGATGTCCACGGGTGGGCAGGCCCACCTACAGGGCATTCTTCCCCAGCTACAGCTGGGCGCTGGGGGTCTCAGCAATTATTCTTGTGGACCACTAGTCAAGTTGAAAACAATAAATGTCCCCCAATCCCCAGGATGAGACACCGAGAACCCAGAATGAGGTCAAGTGTTAGGGACAGCAGCAGAGGCTAGGGAGAAGCCGTGACAGAAGGGACAAGCCCGGGCCACCCACCCAGTTCACAGATCCAGACCTTGTGAACCCCAAAAAACGGCATGAGAAGCCCTGACCAAGGTCCTCGCACCACTGACTTCAGCCTGGGGACCTGGGCTCCAAGCTGCCCAAGCCTCTTGGATGAAACAGCAGGGACAGGACAAGGTTCCGAAAACCCAGCCAGGAGCTCCTCCTTCTGGAGACCCCAGGGCCCCTGAGAACCTTGAGAAACACCTCCCGGGGGCCAGCCAGCAAGCGTGGGCCACCCAGACCTGCCCCACCTGCCAACACACGGCATTCCACGGGGGACCCCACTCTCCTGCTCTGTTGTGGGGCGCTCCCAGCACGATTCTCCCCAGCAGATATCCAGTCCCACAAGAATGCCTTTATGCAGACTTTGGAGTCTGTGCTCCAGAACATTCCGACAACAAAGTCGGTTTTATATTTGTGAGCATTCCTGGGCAGTTGCCAGCTTGGAGGCAGGAGGCATGAAAAGCCAGGGTCTGTTGGCCTTGCTAATTCAGCAGGTTCACGGTCCCGAGACCCTGGCCCGTGGGACACCTCGCCTACACGGCCCGGGGAGCCTTCCAGAAACCTAGGGCCCTGCTGACAACACCCTTCATGCTGAGGGAGAAAGGAGTTCACATTTCACAAAGACTTCTAACATACTCTGCCTGGCAAAGAAACCCGGGGTGAAGCCATGGGTTCGAGCAGTCCTTACTCAGCGCCCCTGTGAGCACCACTCACCCGTGGCTCACCTAGCCCTAGCTCCCAGCCTGACACCAGGTGCAGGGGCAGGCCACAGTGATGCTTTCAGGAAAGCTCACTTTCAAACTGCCGCTAAAACACAGGAACGCAAAGGCTTAAAAACAAATCTGCGCTTAGCACAAGCTGTGGGTCAAGTCCATTCAGTCATCTCTACCTGTTTTCCAGAAACTGTGATCACATTAGAATAAAATGTGTACCTGGGACAGTCCCTTTACCTACCCTGCATGTTTTTTCCTTCCTACAATTTAGCCTCCCGAACCTCGCAAATTCATGAGTGGGAAAATGGCTGCCTCTCCTAAAAATATCAAGGGCTGGGAATCTTGTTATTGGAGCAGGAGGGGGCCTCACCTGACCCAGCCCCCTCTGAGCTCAGGGACTTAGGGAAACTGGGAGGTGGAGGACTGAGAACCATAACAAGGCTTAAATGAGGTGTAATTTTGTCTCCCAGGGGACGCTGGGAAATTGATTTTGAGCCATTCTGTGAATGTCCTGGGACTCTGAAGCCTGCAGGGAGATTGGAGAAGGCTGAGGAAGCTTGGCATTTGTCTAGGAGGACGGTGAGGGCTGCAGGCCTGCATGTCGTAGATCACACCCCGTAGTAACCAAAGCCCAAGTCAAGGACAGCAGCGGTGTTCTCTGCACCTTGAGCTCACCCAACTGCTGGAGGCTCCACATCTGGCCAGTCTGTAGGGCGGGAAGAAAGGCGCTACCCTCCCCTCAATTCTCCTGGCTTGGGCCAGTCAAGAGCTAGCCCTCGCTCCGTTTCTGATGCCTCAACCAAAAACCTTTTCAAACTATTTTTCAGAAGCTTTTTGTCTAAAGGAAATCCTGTAAGAAAGTACCACATGTATATCTGTAAAAGACTGAACAGGCTAGGCACAGTGGCTCACGCCTGCAATCCCAGCTATCTGGGAGGCCGAGGCGTGAGGATGGCTTGAGTCCAGGATTTCAAGACTGGCCTGGGCAACATAGTAAGATATCATGTCTACAAAAAAAGGGAAAAAAAGCCAGATGTGGTGGCAACTGCCTGTAGTCTCAGATACTCAGGAGGTGGAGACAGAAGGATCGCCTGAGCCCAGGAGTTTGAGGCTGTGAGGATGCCACTGCAGTCCAGCCTGGACGACAGAGTGAGACCCACTGCCCCAACTCAAAATAAATAAATGAAGAATAAAAGATGTAACAACCCAGAAAGCTGAGGTGCTTTGGCTGAAGCCAGGGAGGAGGGCCTGGCCCCCTAACCTGCAGTTCCCATGGGCAAGGCTCCCCTAATCAGCCCCAGCCAGGGACCCGTCCCTCAAGACCTACCCTTAAAGAACACCTGAGTTCCAGGAGGCAGGGTTTGAGAACCCATGACATCTTCCGAGGTGTCTTCCCACGCTAGGTTCTGAGGCGCCCAACATGACGTACGCTGACAAGACCTACACGGTGACCCTTCCGGAGATTTGGCCATGAGCACAAAACCCTGCCCTTAGTCTCACAAGGCTCACGATCCTCCCACCTCCCTTGGTTCACTCCTCGGGTGGTCGCCATGCGGTGGCCACTGTCCCATCTGCTCCCTGGATGGCATAGAGGATGCTGCCGTCACCCCTGTTGTGCATCGGGGTCAGGGGTCCTCAGCTCAGTCCTGCCCTGCCGACATCGGGGCCCGAGAGGTCTTTGCTGTAGGGTCTGCCCTGAGTACTGGAGGAGGCTGGCCGCAGTCCGGGCCACTGCCTACCAGATGCCACAGCACACACCCCTGAGGGGACAGCCGACAAGATGTCCCCTGCGTGCAAAACTGACCATGGTTGGGAAGGCTGATCTTGTCGGGTCCTGTATGAAATGGATTCAGAAAATGCCTGTGATTTAATTGAATGCACACACACACACACACACACACACACACACTCACACATTATCTCCTACACAACCCTCTGACACACACACACACTTTCCTACACTCACACAAATCCTCTCACACTCACACACACACTCACACACACCCCACCACCACTGTTCATTCAGAGCAGGAAGCTGAGCCCCAAGGCTCTGGCCGCTGTCCCGAGCTCACCCTGGCGGCCTCAACAGGGAGGCCGGCATGGACCAGGTCTGTCTGATGCTCACTCCTTCCTCACCCGACTCTTCCTCAAAATGCGTTTTCTCTGGGATTCACTGTCTGAGAGCATCAGGCCCATGGAAGGCCACCGTTCCAGCAGAGGACATGGCCTCACGGGCCGTGGTCTCCTTCCGCCAGCAGGAAGAGGCGGCTGGAACAAGGTGGCTCACTCCGGGGGGCTCTGGCTGGCGCCCCGCCTCTCAATTTCCCCAGCCACCCGAGGCCATCACGGTTCGGCAAGTCCTAGTCCCAGAATGTCAGGAGCCCTGGAAAGGGCCAGAGAGATCCCCGAGTGGGTGGGGTGGAAGGGCCACACCCAGCACAGTGAGGGGCCCAGAGTGGATGCCCAGCCTACCTACCCAGTGGGGGCTGACCCACCCACATCCCTGAGGCCATCTTGGCTCTCCCAGAAGCCCCTCAGACGGGGAATGAGGCCAGGACGAATCTCCTGCTAAAATCCCACTCGGCACCAAAAACAGGGCTCCAGGCCACAGGGCAAACTGCCAGCCTTCTTCCTTTCCCACCCTCCTACCCAGGAGAAATTCGAGGAGACCAACGTCAGAGAAGGGAAAGTTAGCCAGAAGCCAGGGGGAGGGCTTGCGGGTCAGATTTGGGCGTCACCACTTATTAGCTCTGTAATCCTGAATGATGTGTCTAATGCATGTGCCTCAGATCACTTATCTGTCAAATGGGCATGCTGCCTCCTGCTTCCAGCAAACAGTAGCAGGGCTTAAACAAACAGCACACAGAACCTGGCAAAGAGCTGCTGAATTCACCAGAGTCTCTCCTTTCCTGGTTGCCTTGGGGATGGCATCTGTGAGGACACAGTTCACTCCCAGAGTGTCCCAGCAAGGAGGGGGACATACAGATGTTCAGCAAATGCCACCGATGTTTCCAGTGTCAGACCCAGAGGGACACTGCCGGGTGCTTCCCCCACCAGCAGCACCGCCAGTCAATGAGTAACGAGCCCAGGAGGGCTGAGCAAATACCTTTCCGGTCCAGCAGACACAGGCAGGTCAGCAGCACACAGGTCACAGGCTCCAGGGGACACCAAGACTGAGACCGCCCCAGAGAAGGGAAGAACACAACCCCAGGGCCTGGAAGGGCAGGGGGCTGGGGCATCTTGTGTAATCCGAGGCCTCTCGAGACTCAATCAACAGTCCCTAG